CCCTGCGGTTATAAATTATGACAGTCACTTCTTATGAAGGTGCACACAGGAGGTAGGGGAGGTATATTGACAATTTATAGGCTGCTGTTTACCTCCACTGATACATTTCTCTGTATGAGGACTTGGGACTTGGATCTCGCTTCTGAGAAAGATATCGAGCATTGGCATTCCACTTTCCACCTAGCCTATAAAGGAAATCTTAATATCTCCCTGGTGGAAGCAAATATAAAGGTAATGACCAGATGGTATATGGTTCCTGCTCAGCTTTCAAAGTTGTATCCGACTTCCTCGCCCCTCTGAATTTGAGGTGATCAGTTACTGGGTACGATGTATCATGTCTGGTGGGAGTGTCCAAAACTACAGGACTTCTGAATAGAGTGTTTGCTCTGATTTGTAAAATCATTGGGACTCCGGTTCCTCAGTCGCCCGAAATTGCACTGTTGAATGAGCCGGTAGAGGACCTGCCTCACTCCACAAGAAAGCTGATCTTTTTTCATGTTTCTAGCAGCCAAACACATGATCGCTCACTTGTGGAAAACACATTCGGTCTTTATGTCACTGTATAGGTGTAAGGTCTCCTGGATAATGTTGAATGAACAACTTACTAGGGTGCTCACTGATGCCATCAATCGATCTGAGGCAACATGGGAACATTGGGCAAAATATCTTCATGTGGATATGTAATACTTTCCCTCTAGCCTCGAAATGGGAGCTGCATCTCTCATCCCCTCCAGGTTTACACCCTCCTCCTTTTCTTTTTTTTTCTTCTTTCTTTTCCCCTTTCTCTTGTTTTCCATTTCTTCTTCTCTTGTTCTTCTTGGACTATACTTGTTTAGTACATGGGTCAAGCTATATTGTAGGTTCTCAGCTTGGACTTCAAAGACAGGACTGCAGCTAGCCCTGCCAAGTATCTCCCCACACGTAAGAGGTTTCTAACATGTTACCGTAATGTGTGTTTGATTTTATGACGCTTATGTCAGTTTGTAGTTGTTGCTGCTTTTACGCTACCTGTATGTATACCAGGGCCCAAAACCCAAGCCCAACACAACTGTTTTTTTTACCATTGTACTATGTTCTGGTCTCATTGAATTACTCTTTTTTTCTAAAAATGAAAAAAAATACTTGTGAGCCACAAAATAGTTAGTAATAACTAATAAATAATAAAGTTTGCTGGCACTTGGTCACATCCTCATATGTATGTGCTAAATGGTTAAATACAATCAGAATTTATTTCCCTGGACGAAGCCACGTGACCCTGTGGCACAACACGTTGGGGAGGGGCTGTGAACAGTATCACAGAGTATCAACAGAACGGCGAGTATACACAGTGGGAGAGGACACTCAGAGGAGGCTCACCACATTTGCATACAGCAATGTTAAACATACCAATGCTTTTTACAAGTTAATTAAATGTGAGTGCATATATTTACAAGCGCTCATTACCATTTTAAAAATAAAGCTCTTTCTGAAGCATTTACACCCATTACCATCTCAATGCATACATTGTAGTGTTTAGCCTAATCATAGACTGAAAAGGAGGTGAGCATAATAGAGTGATAATACTCAAGGAAGAATGTCCTTTTAAACTACAATCATTTGGACTTTATTTGGACTCTCATAAATCTTGTTGATTTTATCACATTTATGGTGGAACATTTCTCTTTATATAAATATTTGTTTGCTTTTGTTTTTGCAAGTAAGTTAGACCATTCACTAAATATTGTTTGAATGCAACAGAATTAGTTAGAATCCTTTTGCATTCAAACGCTGACAGTGTGGAGTGCACCCATTTATCTCATAGATTGGCCATCTCTTTAGGGTGCAGCACTTTTTATTTTCTGACTCTTTTTTTCTACTTTTGTACTTTTTACAACTAATACAAAAGATTGAAAGTAAAGCTACTGGTCAAAATAGAAAACAAGACTTTCATCTCTTGATCTATAAATTGCATAGAAAGTCTAATTTGCTTCCAAAACAGTGTGTGCGTTACTGTGTTATCTTAAGGTATCGACAAATAGGCTCATAGCATAAATGGAAAAAACACCCTAGCCTGAGTGGTATAAAGGTAGGAGAGCTGAAGTAGTTATTGCAATGAACAGTTTCTTTTTTACGTGCATGGCACATATCATAGTGTACTACTTGCTAGCTAAACAAAATACATTGCTACTGTATATTTGTCCTTAATAGTCTATTTTTTTGTATTTCACATGATCCAATTTGGACTTTCTGGGACACATTTAAGCTTTTTTGTGTTCATAACTGATTTAATACTGTTTAATGCCATATGAAGTGAAAGAACAGGAGGCAGAAGAACATGATGTTGTTGCTGAACACAGTTGCATAAGCTGCTATTTTCACCTACTTGGGTTTATGCCAAAAAACGCTTCTCAAGCTGTACAAAATCTATGGCCTCAACTGTTATGCCAACCTTTGAGGGTACAAGCAGCTGTAAATAAGATATAGAGGATGGACCTAGCTGAGCATTTATAAAGTGACAAGTGGAGACAAATCATAGCATGGCAAGTTCTTCACAGTTGCCGAGTACTTTTGTCTCCATGTGAGACTGGAATTATTAGTTCTAAAACCCTAGTTCAGGTATAACAATGCAAACCTATCACTGTCTCACAGCAGCTCTAAGCCACAAACAAAAAGAGAAACACTATAGGAAAGGAATGGCAAATTGGGCCACCAGTTAAAAATGTCCTGTTTCTTGCTTGAGATCTATGCTTTAGGCTCAGGGTGTACTGATTTTACTTCATTCCTGCATGCATTTTTAATATATAGTTTTCTTTAAATGTATCTCATTTGCTTACTACTGGAAAATAATCTTTGGAAATCTTTGAACATATTTTCTTTTTCCTGTTTATGTTAACATTAACATGTTTTATTGCCACAAAAATAACTTTTTTCTTATTACATTAAGACTGCATATATTATATATTGCCTTATTACAAATGGATATCATTTTAAAGGCATTGTGCACTTTGAAACATTTTCATTGTTTTAACTAGGTGTCAGTGTAGTTTTTTGCTTTTGTCTTGTAATAATGGGTTCACATGTTGTGGTGAAGTTTTGTAGAGTCATAGCTCAGCCTCTCAACCAGGGTGCCCTGGCACCCTGGGGTGCCTTGAGGTTTCTTCAGGGGTGCCTTTCCAAAATCTCTGAAAATTGCCCAAAACGTTTATACAAACCAGCAAATGGACAAGCCTGCCTTTTAGTTACACAAAGCCGCAGGTTTCATTGTGCACCATTACGACCTTCTAGCCTCTGGCATCCTGACAACCAATGACCTCATCTGTTGATAAGGAGAATGTCAGCTGCCTGCACAGCATCCTAGTTTGACCCTCCCCTGCCCCTCTCCATCAGTGCTGGGGTCACATTAGCTCAGTGAAGGAGAAGAGAAACACTGGAATACTAAGCAGTAACAGTGTGCAAAAGTGTATTTGCTTTGGAAAAATAAATCACCTCTAATGTTGGGTGTCCTACATGTGTTGATGTTGCTTCATTATATAAAACTATTAGAATAGTTTTTCACATTTTAGAATGGGGTGCCCTCTTAAAATTATGGACAGTCTTGAGGCAACCCTTTTTTAGAATGGGGTGCCTCAAGACTGTCCATAATTTTTAAAGGGTGCCTCGGGACTGTCCATAATTTTTAAAGGGTGCCTTGACTGAAAAGAGGTTGAGAAACACGGTCATAGCTGATCCATTTAATGTATGTCCATGTATTGCTTCAGCTAGCCTGTCCCGATGTGCTGAGAAGACAAGACAACTTCCTGTTCTGGGTCACACAGTATCCAATGCATGCCTTTCCATCTTTATTGTGTTGCATCACTAATGTTAAGAGTGCTAATGGAATGTAACACATAATATCTTAGTTGCATGAGTGAGCTCTCTGTGTGTCTGTGAATGCTCTGCCTGCTTACGTTGGTGTCAGATCCAATTAATATTGTGTAGCACCAGCAGTAGACTGTGATACCCACCGATTGTGGGATATGTAACTTCTTCACAGAAAGTGTCAGATCTCACAATACTGCTCTGCAACAGCCTTCTAGCAAGTTTGGTGAATTTGTCCTACAGTATGTCACAAGTTTACATGGTAAAGAACACACCTTCATAAACACTTCTGCAGCCAGTCAATATATTAATTTGAGCAGCACTATAGGCCAGAATGGCGGATGCAAGCCAGTTTTAAGTGACTTTCAAAACAGTCAGATTACCCCCAAGCCAATAGCAAGAACTTGCTGGATGTGGTATTATTACATGCAGACCTTCCCTAGATTCTAGAAACTATCTATGGTTGCTCAGTAATATCTAATTTTTTTCTATAGGGAACAAAATTACCTCTTCATTGTACCTGCAGCTATATGTCAGGTGATTGATGTAGGAAAAAACTGGATAAACCACAGGCAACTTTGTCAACACCAATGTTCTTGGTGAGAATTTTTATCCATATGTAACAGTCCAAAGTATAGGCACAAACCAATCTCTCTCAGGGTAAATAATATTTTTCACAGCACAGAGCTATTAGATTACCTGTTTCACCTACCATTGACTAGGGAGTGGCATCAGTCTATTCTATTCATATACTGGAGCTGTTTGTTATCTCTTTCAAAAATTATCATGAATTACTCCTACTACACCAGCCGCTCAAAAATTTAAAGCATGGTGCCTGAACATGCCCTTTAACCACTTCAATACCGAACACTTTTACCCCTTCTCCTGCCCAGGCCAATTTTCAGGTTTCAGCGCTCTCACACTTTGAATGACAATTGCGCGGTCATGCAACACTGTACCCAAACTAAAAATGTTATTCATTTTGTCCACACAACTAGAGCTTTCTTTTGGTGGTATTTAATCACCGCATGTTTTTTTTTTTTGCTAAAATAAACAAATGAGACTGAACATTTTGAAAAAAAAAACACGTTCTTTGTTTCTGTTATAAAAAGTTTGTAAATAAATAATTGTTCTTCATAAATTTAGGCCAATGATGTATTCTGCTACATTTCTTTGGTGAAAATAACCCAAATCAGTATTTATTATTTAGACTGTAGGAAAGTTATAGAGTTCACAAACTATGGGATATATCTGAAAATTGATCAATCCTGAAGTACTGACAGACCGATCTAATTTCTTGAGGTCCAAAAAATGAACAGTACAGATTATCCCCCAAATGACCCCTTTTTGCAAAGTAGACAGTCCTACGTATTTCATAAGAGGCATGGTGAGTTTTTTGAAGTTGTAATATTTTTTGTCATAATTTTTCGGAAAAATTAAGAAATTAAAAAAAATAATTTTCACAATTCTTTTTTTACATTACTGTCACCAGTGCAGTACAGCATCAGCATATAACTGCTGTGGCGGTGCTCAGGGACATTGACTGACTGGTGACAGTAATAATTGATAAATTTTTTTCAGTTTTTTTTTCAGTTTTTTATTATTTTTTATTACTTTCTCTTTTAAAAGATTTTTTTTTTTTCATATTACACTCATGACCAAAGTAGTATAATGTTACCATAGTAACATTGTACTACTTTGGGGAAGTGATCAGTACTTTTTTTTTTTGTACACAATTTGATTGTTATAGCAAAGAATTTCTTTGCTATAAGCAAGCATTTAACTGAATGAAATCGATTAATTCAGGTTTTTTTGTTGTGTTTAGCTGTGATTTTGCCACGGCTACTTGCATGACACAGATGAGCTGTAATTGGCCCAGCCTGTGCATGTGATCACTGTGACCATTCACAGCTAGACACACTTGTATACAATGGATGGCATGAAAGGAGGCCATCCATTGCATACAACTGTTACGTGACCTGCTGTGATTGGTCACAGCAGGTCACATAGAACTGGCAACAGGGCCGGTACACAGATCTGTCATTGGCCGTGTACGAGGCACACGGCCGGTGACAGATCTCTCCACAGTGCAGCCTGTGGGCACGCGCAAGGAGCGATCCAGGAAGGACATCATATGACACCCTCTCGGAGGGATGAGATGTTTGCCTGGCCATCATTTGACCATAGGCCGGGCGGCAAGTGGTTAAAGACCATCACTGACATCAACAGCACTCCCTGGTGCTGTAGCATTTAAATTATTATTACAAAGTCAAAGGTGACCAATATCCTCCTGCAACTTCCAACTGACCACTTTTTCTCATGTTAAAGGACCAACGGAGAGGCAGATAATGCCAACCTTTGTCCACACTCTTCGTTCACTACTAACTTTAAGTATAACAAAAGGCACATCTTTATTTTTTTTGTTTTGGATAGAGTGGAGATGGGGTAGAAGAAAATGCCAAATTTTGGGTTATCCCCAGAACAGTAATGCAAGGAAAATCTCCCATTGGGGACACTAGTTCTGGTGACCCCTATGGATTTCCTAAATTTGCAGAGAATTCTTCTCAGTTCCTTTTTTGGCTATGGATCAAGAAGGGAAGGTCAATCTCCCTAATAAGACACAGATGTCAAAACAACCCTGACAGCCCTGATCCTCTTCTTTTTCGGGTCCCCAGCTGGCAGTCCTGGCTCCTCCCCCCCTGACGTGTGCCCCCAGTAGCAAGCCTCTTGCTATGGGGGCACTCAAGCAGGCCTGCTCCCAAGCCACACTGCTGTGGACAGACATTGTCCATTTACACACAGATCATAGCTCAGCCCCACCCCCCTTCTCTCTCTTCATTGGCTCACTAGTTATGATTGACAGAAGCAGGAGCCAACAGTTCCTACTGCTGTGTGAGCCAATGAAGAAAAAGACCTAGGAGAGACCCGGCTCTCATGCACATCAAGGAATCGAGTATAAGTGGGGGCTGGGGGGGGGAGCTGCACCCAGAAGGCTTTTTACATTCATGCATAGAATGCATGAAGATAAAAACCTTATGCCTTTAGAAACCACTGTAAATATATAGGAGGAGATTTACTAAAACTGGTGCACAAAGAATCTGGTGCAGCTGTGCATAGTAACCAATCAGCTTCTGACTTCAGTTTGTTCAATTAAGCTCTGACAATAAAACATAGAAGCTGACTGGTTACTATACACAGCTGCACCATCTTCTGTGTAGATCAGTTTTAGAATATCTCCCCCATAGTGTTCAAAGGCAGTGCCATTCACCATGGAGATAAATAATGACCTGGACCATCATCTGGTACCTGCACACCAGGCACAGAAATCTGACACATCAGAGCTGCTTATCAATGACATACTATAAAACAAAGTAAATATTTTCATTATATGTTAAAGGATAAGTTCACAATTCGTAACATGTTACATGTTACACCCCTATTCAGGGTGTAACATGTAACAAAGAGACCAGCCTCCGATCCTCCCCCGCTCCCCATTGTGACAGCTGTCCGGGGATCTTCTCCCCCCTGCTAGCTATCACAGTTAGAAAAAAAGCCCAGCAGTGAGGGACTCTGCCCGCCTCGGCCTTGTCACGCATTCACAGTATTCTGTGAATGAGAACACTGCATGTTCAGACAGACTTTGCGGCTGTTGAATGTAGTTCATTGAGTCTTACTGTCAGACTGTATCTGCTTGCCTGTACAGGATGTACCGGCACACAGAGACACTTACAGGTCTGCAGGAGACCTGCATGGCACCAACGATCTGCTGATCGCTGGTGCAATGCTTTAGAGGCTCCAGAAACAAAAAATTAAAAAAAGCACATTTTTTTTTTTTTACCTGCAAAAAATGTGCATTTATTATTTTTTGTAAAAAGGTGAACGTATCCTTTAATGTTTTTGTACAGTATGTACACTGTACTCTTGCAGATTATCAATCACATCACAACTTTGCACCAAAAACAATAAGAAAGTCCAGTTGTTACTTTACATTGTTTCCCCAAGGGAAAGGCTAGATAACTTTTGTGTCTTTCATACTAGATTGTGTGTCCTCTGCTGTCAAGATTAGACAATGATTGGTTAGATGTCAGAAATGATAACAGTTGAGAGGGTTCCACTCCCAAGGGACAAGCATCCGTTAGTGTCATCAGGCAGGAGGCTTCAGACACTGATATCCAATTTCTTAGAAAAACATAAGGAAAAGAACATACCATAGCTATTTGTTTCTTATATTTTGTCAGACCAAAATTAAAAGTGCCGCTTATATTTTAAAGAATTATATGTTACATGTTATGTATTTTATGTAGTTAGCTTCCACAGCATATTTCATGGCAATCTATCAGAATTCATATTTCACTAATGTGACTATAGCAAATTAAAATCTAACTGGTCACGATAATTCATTGACCTATAAAAGAAATAAACTCTGCAGAATAAAGGCAAGTAATATTCTATTGGATTAGTTCAACCACGAGTTAGGATTTTCTGTTTGGGCAGGCCAACTGTGAAAATATTGGGAGGCATAAGAATACAGTAAGTAACAGAATTATGATCAGACATGCTTTCAGATTTATTGATCTCCCCCAAACAAAAAAGTGAATATACTGCTGTAAGTTGATGTACCGGTAAAATCAGTTTCAGAATATAGCACAGGGCATAGGCTTCTAAATCATTACAACTGAGTTATATTCTAACTTAGAGTGACTGTACACTAGAAAAAAAAAATATGCACTGACAATCCCCTATATAACCCCTCCACTTCCAGCGATCCTCAGTTTTGTAGCAAGCAATAGGGTTCCAAGACCATCAAACCCAAGACCATCATCCATGCATAAATCAAGGTCCTTCTCTGGCCTGATGAGCCCTGGCATAAGAAAAAAAGAGATAGAAGTTTGCATCAAGGTAAAAGGGTTGAGGACACATTTCTGCCCTCTGTGAGACCTGGCACTCCAATTTGTGAGTTGGGTCCAAGGCATTTCTTGGACCAGCATTTTACCTGAGGATGCTGCACATATGTGCAAAGATAAGGCTATTCCTACAAATTTGGCAAATTGTATCCACCAAGCCATTTACGCAGTAGTGTAAGGCTGTAGGGAAGTTCCAACTGACTGTGAACAGAAGGATTTGTAAGAGTGGATCTAGGATTCCAAACTATACAGGGCCCCTAACCCCTTTAACCTACAACCTTAACAAGGCCAAGAATATTTCCATGAACTTTTACACAGTGGCAAAACAAAATCATCTCTAGACACGATGTATAAGGCTGATGTGGATCATGGGCTGGCTTTAGAATGACGAGAGGAAGACAAAGAGTCAGATTGGGGCACCCTGAACTAATGTACTATACATCTTCAATATGGCTAAAGGCTGAACCTTAGCTATTGAGCCCATCTGACCCTTACCTTTCTGCTTGTGGTTCACCCTATTTGAATAATGAACAAGGGGTACTCATGATCTCTGCAGTGGCTGCATTGGTGGGTGTCTTGGATGCAAACCTGTAGGCTGCTGTGTGCATTCAGGATCATGGAGTAGAAACCTCTATCAATGTGCTTTCAGTCAAGAGAACCAGCAGATGAGCAGCATGTGTGCAGAAGGCCACACGAATGCAGTAGCAGCACCACTGAATAAGAGTGCAAATAGTGCAACAGCACCATACCAGCTGTCCTTCAGCAGCACAAGTAAAATTGTTGCTAATGCCATTGACCTCAGCCATACCTGAATGCCTGAATGTGCCACATCCCAAAGGCTATAAGTGCACCCCGGATGATTGTTTAAGGGCTTTCCACCATGTACTCACCACTTTAATAGGCAGGAAGAAGAAGTATTCAACCCCTTCTTGGCTTCACTCTCCAGAGTGGACTCTTACAGGGGTCTTCAAAGACTGGGCTCTACACCATGGATACCACAACTCTGGACCTGTAAAGCCCACACCATGCATCTAACTCTACATGTTGCACTATGTGTCAAGGGTGAGCACCTGTAGAAGGATCCAGTAAACAGTAAAGGCTGGCCCCACGTCTTCCATTTTGCAGGATCAAGGTATAGTCCCCCAAGGCCCTATCAATGGAACTATTCAGAGCTGACATAATGGTCACATGATAGGAAACCACTCTAATTCCTGATTGGCAGTGGGTACCCTAGCTTTTCATTAATAGGCAGGACTGAAGCCAGAAGCCACACAAAGTGCTGGCAATTCTTAAAGCCCAACTCAAGTCACAAAAAACCCCCCACTGCAGTAGGAGTTGCGAAGAGGCTGCAATATTTACCTAATTCCCAGACCCAGCAGGCTCTGGTGCACTCCTGCTCTGTCCAAAGGTCTGGTCTTTGGGCAGAGCTTCTGCATCAACATGTACAGTGCAGGGCTATTAACCCTTTATTAACCCTGCAACAGGAGGCAGCTGCGAACCAGCCGCACAATTTGAGGAAGCCTACTGAAGCAGGGAGCCAGGTAAGTAGACTTAACAAGCATTTAATGCTTGCAGCGGTGTGGGGAG